GTGACAATTGTGCTGATGATACTGATGAAGTTCGTGCGCGCGCAGAAAATCTGTCATACGCTTGCTTGCAAAAGTGATTATTCATATGTGAAGTCCCGCCGCCCCGTGGCAGTAGCGCCCAGGAATTGAAAGCCCAGGCTCGTGCCAGAGCAGCATTCGGAGAGCCCTTCAACCAGCCGAGAGCGCAGGGCGACCTCTACACAGAGGAGGAAGAGGAGGGAGAGGAGGCGGAGGAGCTTCGACGGATTTGCACGAGGGCACGGGCTCACAGACCTCCGACGTTGGGGTTCGGAAGTTGGGTTCGGAAGCTTCCGACCCCAACTTTCGCACGGATGTTGCGCCGCGGGCTGCTGTTCACTGGCCCAAGGCCCTGGTTCTCGAAACGACTTCTCGCAGGCTCGAAGTCTCAGAATGACCAGCCGCCCTGACGCTTTAGGTCGCTAAGAGGTCTGGGGCCCTGAGGCGGAACAAAAAGAAGAAGTATGTAGACTTAGCGTGGACTAGCGTGGTCTGCGCAAGCGGCAAAGTTCCGTTTAGAATCAGATCCTCATGAGTGGGTGCACGAGGGGGCAAAATATAATCAGAGCTTTATGAGTGGACGCAAGAACTCAGCCACAAGGCCACCCCTGGCTAGTAGGGCGCACGGCCTTCAAAAAAGACGGCCTATGGTTTGGCGCAGAGCATGCTCTGAATCTTTCTGAAGCCCCGCTATACTGCACCTTCAGCGCTGGCTCTGCACGAGTGGAGCGGCGCAGTCAAGAAGGACCCTGGTTTTCCCCCCTCCTCCTCGCTCTTGCGCGCGCCCCGACATGAGTGGGGGGAGGGGCGTGGCCTCCGGCAAGGCACAGCAAGTGCTGTCGCGTGGCCCGCGCTTGCTTGGGCAGCTCCGACGGGCGGCGCAGTCACCGAACGCTCACAGAGCGAGCCCGCGAAACAGGCGCTGCCATGCGCGAAAGACCTGAGACCGCCACGTGCTGTCTCGCGAGTGCGAGAAGAAGCTCTCCTGACGTCGTCGGCGCCCGGCCAGGCGAAAGCGGGGAACTCGAGCTGCCATGATTACATCGTGCTGCCATAAGGAACGAGGAATAAGGAACGAAGGGGCCGTTCGGGTAACAGCGAGCCTTGGCCAGGTTCCCCTCTGTACCGAGGTCTAAGGAACGGCCAAAAAACAAGAGCCCCTCCAGAGCCCAAAGTGGTCCTAATCCCAGCTTCTTGGCTGTAGCTCCCTAAGGGCCCCAACTCTGTAATCCGCGCGCCCATTCTTAGACGCTGGCAACCGGCACCCCGAGGACGGCGGGGGCTCGGCCGAGTCTGGCTGGCGTCGGCGGTGGCATCCGGCGACTGGCGAGAGGCATGCCCAAAGATGGCCCGAGTCGGGCCAGCAGTTGGGAGGTCTCCGCGAGATCTCCACATCCACCCCATGCCCAGCGGGTACGCAGGGAGGAGGAGGAGAAGGAGGAGAAGAGCGGAGGAACAGGAGGATGAGGAGGCGGAGGAGGGGAGAGGGAGGGAGCGGGAAGAGAATAAATTATCAAGGGGGGCTGAGAAGGAGGAGGAGGAGGAGGACGAGGAGGAGAAGGACGAGGAGGAGGAGGAGGAGGAGGAGGAGGAGGAGGAGGAGGAGCACGAGGAGGAGAAGGAGGACGGGTGGAAGAGGGAGGAGGAGGAGGACGAGGGGAGGAGGCGCAGAGAGGCAGAAGGCGGGCCCCATCGAACCTCTCCTGGAGTTCATCATAAGCCCATCCTCCCAAACCAACCCTGTCAAACCATTGTCTTCCCCTGTCCTCCTCCTCCTCCCCCTCAGCGCACGGGGCGCCCACGTCCTCCTCCTCCCCCTCAGCGCACGGGGCGCCCACGAGGCGCCCACGAGCGAGCGCGGGCGCCAACGCGGCGAATCCTCGGAAAGCCTTTCTTCTTCTTCTCCTCCTCCTCATCCTCCTCCTCCTCCTCCTCATCCTCCTCCTCCTCGTCCTGGGCTGTCCGCACGGATGTCAAATACGCGAGTCACGTTTGGCGTCCGGGAGTCTTTGGCGGCGGAGCATGACGCGCGCGAGGTGCTGCTGGGGAAAATCAAAGGCATCTTGAATGCAACAGCTTCCTAGTGCAACTGCCCGCGAGAAGACACTTTGCAGCGCGCGAAGCAAAGACAACCGATGTTTGCTGACAAAAAACATCTGGCTTATTGATGCGCGTCCTCACTGAAGGAGATAGGAGAAGAATGAGGACCATGGAGCACCCCTCCAGAAACCTGTAGAAAAAAAACACGCGCGCGCGACACACACACACACTCTCACACACACACACGCACACAAACACACACACACACACACACACGCACGGCAGACACACACACATACACGCACACACGCACACACACACACACGCACAGCAGACACAGCATACCAAGACACAACATCACAACAAACGAGCCATACTTCCCCTCCGCCTGCCTCTTCTCCCCCCACGTCTCTAAGAGGAGGCCAACGTCGCACGCGGCTCAAGCTCGGACCCCACGAGCGGGTGCCACACACACACACACACACACACATCCGCGGCGGCAGAGGCGAAGTCCCAGGGAACGCGGCCGTAATGCCCTCCCCGTTGCCGCTGAAGTGCCTCGCGCGCGCGTGCGCGCGGAGCGACGGGTAATCCCTGACATCGTTGGGCCGCGCTCGACAATCACAACGGGCGGGGCGCGTCCGCCCCGTCGTTAGGGCCCCAGGGACCCTCACGGATAGGTCCGGCTCGAGAGAGGCCGCAGAGAGATTGTGTCGAAGGCTCTGGTCGTGATTTTCCACGGCGCTGGAAATCGGAGGTCGCTGGGCAATCCTGTGGGAAGGCACGTCACGTCTCGCTTTTCAATAGGCGCGCCTTAGGCGGAGCGCGCAAGCTCCCAATAGTCGGTGAGCGAGGCCCAGACGACTCGGCACAGCATCCACTTCTCAACCGTTCAGCCATTCCGCTCTCCACTCCTCTCTTCTCTTCTCCTGCACGGGCTGCCAATTGCATGCCTAATCCTGCTTTTCCTCCTCCTAAGAGCTGGGTCAACCTTACCTTACCCATCCCAACATAGCAATCGATAGACGCCTCACCCCCGACGTCCCTGCCCCATCCTCCCCCTCCAGAAACCTCCACAGACATCTGCAAACCACCGAAGCCAGTAGAAAACCACTGAAAACACTCACAAGATCCCAAATCCTTTGGGAACCTCCTCCTGCTCCTCCTCCCCCTCCTCCTCCTCCTCCTCCTCCTCCTCCTCCTCCTCCTCCTCCTCCGCCCCACCTCCACCCCCACAGTCTGCTACAGATCCCTGAACCTTTAGAACGCCCTACGCCACCTAAAAATCATATAGAGCCATTGAGAACCCCTTCAACAATCTCTGTCATCTTCCTCCCTGCTTTTTCTCCTCCTCCTCCTCCTCCTCCTCCTCCTGCTCCCACTTCCTCCAGCTCCTCCCCATTCTGCTGCTGCCTCCGCCTGCCTCCCTCGTCCACGTCCCCATACCTCTCCCTCCTCCTCCTTCTGCTCTCCTCCTCGTCCTCCTCCTGCTCTCCCTCCTCCTCCTTCTCCCCCTCTCGTCCTATTCCGCCTCCGAAGACGACGACGAGCGACGACAACGACGAAGACGACGACGACGACGACGGCGGCGGAAGGCGGCGGCGGAAGACGGCGGACGATGACAACGACGAAGTCGGACGACGACATGCGACGACGTCGGACGACGACATGCGACGACGACGACGACGACGACGACGACGACGACGACATGCGACTACGACGACGACGACGACGACATGCGACTACGACGACGACGACATGCGACTACGACGACGACGACGACGACGACGGCGACGGCGGCGGCGGCGGCGGCGGCGGCGACGGCAGCGGCGGCGGCGACACGAGGCCGCCTGAAGGGAGCGTCGGTGCCGTCCGGCTCCACCATGGGCGAGTGTATCGGCGGCGCCGTGCCTCGGAGGCAGACCACATCCCACCCCGGGTGCCGTCGTCGCCGTGCAGAGGCTCCGAGGGCCCTCCGAGAGAGTGGAGACGAGTGCATCCGCGGGCCTGGCTGCGGTGAGGGCGCTGGATGAGGGACCCGTGGGTGAGGAATCCAGGCGCTGAAAGCTGGCGGAGCACCAAGGGAGCGGCGATTCAAAACAAGGTCTTACGCGAGATGGCGCAGCGACCCCTTACGCGCTGGCTTACGCGGGCCGCCAGCGCGGCGCCCCGCACTGGAGACAAGGGCGCTTCCGCGCCATCTTGCGCGGGAGGCCGACGCGCGAGTGTCGGCGCAGTCGACCCCGTCTTCCTGCGTGACTCCATCCGGGCCTGACGCTGTGGGTCTCACGGCTGCCCTCGTCTGCAAAGTGCTCCTCCGAATTCTGGAGCCTTCCGGGCAGATTCCTTCACGAGCGCCCTCACCGGGCACCCGGCGTCGGCGTGGCTCGCAGGGGCGAGAGCGAGGAGCATTTCAGGGTCCGGGGGCCCCTTCGATCGACATTTCGGCCAGCGCCCCAGGTGCAGCCGCGCAGTAAGTTCTGCTTCGCTCTAGATTCACACCGATGGGCGCAGCGAAGACGTGCACATTGGGAGTGGCATCGCGCACGCAGCTGTGGGCTCGATCCATCAGCCTCGCGCGCGCAAACGTCATCTCGATCGCGCGGCCTTGGTATCCCCGCGATGTGCGCGTAGACCAAGAACGTCAATGTCAATTAGGCTTCAAACCGGTTGATGGGTAACACGGAATATACGAGGAATCGTTCGACACACTGGGAGTATACCGTGTGGGGCAGCCGGGAACGAGCTATGTGTGAGCTCTTGGAGCACGACGCCGCACCACTCCGTGACACGTCGTCGCTGATCTCAGTCTTAAGTGTGCCCCTTGCCAACATCGTTAGCTCGCGGATCCTGCATGACAGTGCGTTCTCCTTCTTCCAGATCCTCGGAGGCACACCCCCCGAACCGTAGCCTGGCTCGCCCATGATGAAGCGCACGCGGAAGGCGTAGGGGCCGCGAGTGGAGAGTCCTTGTCGGGGTGGCTGCTACCCTTTCTCGCTGAAGAAACGTCTTACGCTAAGCTACAAGCTCCTCCCCAATTCTCGCCCAGCCAAGCCCCAACTTTCACAACAACCCTTGCCAAGCCGCCCTTTTCCCCGGACGCTGGAGCAAGCACTTGCCTCAGGATATGTCGTCTGACGCTGCCTTCGGGTCCCAGTTGGTGGTTGGTGGATCCTCGTGGCCAGTAGATGGCTGACGGTGGAGCAACGGAGTTACATCTCTGCTGGCGACGAACGGTGGGGAATGTACCCGGCCCCTGCCGCGTTCGCAAGCATGTCTCAACTAAGATAGACCCCCGTGCTCAAACAACACACCATCCGGTTGCACGGCAGGCCTGTAGGCCATGGGGGGACTGGGAACCCTCGCTCCTGCAGCACTGCGCCGGAAATCAGAGCCCAAAATGCCCGCGCACGCACGCGCACACGCGAGCGCGCCCGCAGTGGCAAGCGCGGCCCTCGACTACACGATCGCCTGAGACATCGGCGCTTCGGTCATCGTGCTACCATAACTCCATACGAAACGCTGAACGAGGGACGAAGGGGCAGCTTCGGCCACGGCGAGCCTCGGCCACGAAGAGGCTCCCCGACCAACGGCCCGAAAACTAGCGCCCCTCCTGAGCCCAACGTGGCTCTTACTTCAACGCCTTGACTGTAGCAGAGCAGGTGCGGACCCGTGTCCGCACGCTGGGCTTGCGGCGGGGAGGTCCTACGCACCCGCCCGCCTCGAGCTTCAACACGACCTCGTCCGCGATCCTGCTGGCCTAAGGCAGAGGCGACCGAACTCGGCTCACGCACCACGGCGCACAGTGGGGCGATGGGGCGAGAGAGATCGAGTGAGCAATCATGCAGGGTGGGACGCGAGATGTGATGGCAGGTCGGGCGCGCGCAAACACCCACACCGACTCACACTGGCACCTCCACCCTCCCCGTCCTCTTGACCCTCCTCCTCCTCCCTCCTCCTCCTCCTCATCATCCTCCTCCTCATCCCTCCTAAGCCCTGGCTCACAGGTGGGGGCACACTCCCGATAACGAAGGACAACTTTTTAGTCCTCACATACACACACACACACCTTTGTTGGGCTGCAAACTGACACACACACACACACACTTCCGATGTCTCTCTCTTGATGCTTCTCGCGTCTTGGGTTCAGATATTCATTCGGGCGCTGCTGGCCATCAGCAGCGACATGAGTCGACGGCTTCACGGAGCGTCAATTTTGCAGTAAAACCCGCTGTCAGCAAGTTCTTATGATCGGCTGCAGGGCATATAATGGATTCGACTTTGTTTGTCTTGCAGGGACGGGATCTCGTAAATACGGGCATCAGGAGGTCGTGTGGAGGAGAGCGGGCAAGAGATGGGCAGTGGAGGCGGGCTGGGCGCGCTCCCCAGGTAGCAACAAGAGCTCGGGGTGCACCATCGTGTTGGAGCCACGGACTCGCCGTGGCACCGTCTCCCACACATGGGCTGCCCCTCCCTACATCACTGGGCGAGGGGTTGCGCTCAGAACACGCTGCTGCCAATACGACTTAGGAGCAGCAAGCATCTACTTCCCGCCTCCACCCCAGAGAGCGTCAGACTATTCCAGCTACGTGCGCCCTTGCGATCAAATTGGGGACTGGATCAGATCGCTTCCATTCCTTGCTGTAACTCGCTGCTCTCCTATCCTAGCAATGGGGTTAAAGTCTGAATTTAGGTTGCAACGGCTGCGAGGGATTGAAGATTGGACGGCAATGAAAAATGATCGTCTCGGCACCAAGGTCCCTCCCGTCAGACAACGGTATGCTGCTGATGTGATGCTCCAGGTGATCCAGGCCTTAGATCTGGTACCCATCAATCTGCATCTCGGGATGGGCCCCACGTATGTCAGCTACTCTAGGACTTCATACATGCTGGGCTATGTGTTCATCCCCCGATGTGCACAATCACCTATTACGTCCGCAGGCCCTCTTCGCCAACTCGCTAGGACATTACAGCTTATACGACATCGTGAACAGAGGGACCATCTCCCCCTACATGCAAGATTCAGCTATGATGTTGCTGCTATTACTGGCTCATGGGCTACTGGACTGAACGAATATGGTCGGTTGGCTTTGTTACTAGGCACGTCCGCTGGAATAAGGAGGCTCTCATGGACAGTCTTCGCATGGGAACAAGCAGGGCCGAGTTTCTGATCGCTCTGGAGGCCAGGATGACGGAGGAGCAGAAGCAATAGCAGCAGTATCGGAGGGAGGAGCAGACCTCCAACGCTGAGTGGGGATTTGTATTCGAGTGCCCAATGAAACCGCTGAGAAGTACTTCGCAGGATCTGTTGAGCGCACTTCAGATTATTCTGAGCGTGCCAAGGCTATCCTTGAAAAGCTCCACGCGCGCCAGCAGTGTCGCATTGAGATGTCTGAAGGAACGCTATCTGCCGAGGCTGTTCTCTGTATCAGGGGAAATTCGTGCACAGTCCAAGCAGCTTCGCGCGCTTCGACGGCAGTATCTTAAGCAGAGGAGATCTGACACCACTGACAAGCTGCATGTGGCAATGAAAATAGGCAGACAAGCTAAGGTGGTAAGGTTATCTCGGCAGCTCTCGGCACGTTGGACAGGACCTAAGTAACAGAACTATCGACGTCCTCCTTCGGCCTTGCCTGCGAGTCAGGAGCTGCAGGATAGGTGGCCCCTCCCCTCATCGCAGGGAGAGATGCAGGCTGAGAGTACTGACGGGGTTCGATGTGCTAACAATCATCTCTATCATCATACGGAGGGGCAAGAGGAACACTATTCCTTGGGCCAGTACACGGAGGAGGGAGTGGACACGGGATCACCTTAAACACATTCACAAAACCACTATGAAAGCATGAAGACGGAGAGCTGTCCCTGATGGGTCGGTTCCTATGGCAGTTTTCTGGATGATATGTTGCCCCTACAGAAGAACGTCAAAACGATTCCGAACATCGAGTTACGACGCGCCGAACATCGAGTTACAAGCTGTTCGAGGATTATTGCTCTCTCTCTCTCTCTCTCTCTCTCTCTCTCTCTCTCTCTCTCTCTCTCTCTTTTATGCACAAAACTCGGCGAGCCAGACAGGTTCCCCTTGTATGGCATCTCTCGCAAGCAGCGGCACTTTCGTGGAAGCGTGTGGAACATGTGCTGTGCCCGTTTGGTAAAGCTTTCACCGCTACGTGCATCGATCCCGCTCAACGGGATCAGGAACCGTTGTCCTCGCATGGGTGCATTGCTAGAAGACGAAGAGGGCTCTTCTCGCTCAACAAGCCTTGGGCTGGAGGCTCCATTGGCTAGGACTTGACTTTCAATGATCACGAAGATATCACGAATGCATGTGGGTCTAGTAGCTGGGAGGCACTAAAGAAGGCGAACCAGAAGGTCATGAGGGTGGAGGAGTCTTACTATGAGGAGCAGAGGTTCAAGTTTTCAGCGGTATGCTTTCGAGGAGTTGATGGACAGCGTTTCGCAACACCCTGGGTTGGAGCACTGCAGGGGGACCCGTGGGCCGTCAAGGTTTTGTTCGTGATATCAGGGACTGCTTTGAAGAGGCACAGACCCAATACGCTGCCCTCTGCGAACGTACTGCGGACTGGTGTGTGGTCGAGCTACACCCGCAAGGTCAGGAAGTAATTGAGCTCGATCTTTCTATGCACAGCAATGTAGATAGCGCGCTGCGCAAGTTGATTGCTGATCCAGACGGGAATGGAGCAGGATCCATGAGTAGGCACTCTATACAAAACAACGAGATCGTGTCTCAGTGCTTGACCAGGCGTAACTACAGGCTTAATCCCACCAACAATGAAAGAGTTGTCTCCTTACAGGGCCCGGGTCAACAACTTAGAACAACAAGTATCAGGACTGGTGCATTACCTATGGCTGGGGTTCCTAATGATGCGGCTAAATATCTTGGTTCGCTTGTTAGATACGATGGCAAGTTTAGCAACGAATTGGATGCTCGGCTTTCGGCTGTATCTGCTGGCTATTGGTCTATGGGACGCTACTGGTACAACCCTCGTATACCCTCCGTTGAAAAGCGTGCGATGTTCCTCAGTAAAGTAGTTGGGCATGTTGTCTCGGCGTTGGAAGCCTTCCTGCCTTCTTTACTTCAGATTGCCAGGATCCAGAAACTCGTAGTCTCGTACGGTCGACGAGCGCTGCGAGATGCCGCCACATAATGGCACAACGATCATCAGCGCTCCATTCCAGCCCAGAGTCCTACAGTTGAGGCGCGTTGCTCCGATCGAGGTTGAAATCAGAGTCCGTCGGCTGAAGTGGTATCAGAAGTGGGTGCGAGAGCCTCACCATCATGCTGCAGACTGGAGTGCTTTGTTCTTTGCTACTCGTGTGGGACGTGAGCGAGGCATCCAGGTCATTGATGAGCAAGGCCGTCTGACAGTTCATGTCTCTCCCTGGGCGCACATATTCGTTCAAGATATTCAGGATCTAAGTGAGCTGAGGGGGGAACACTCAGAGAATATTGATGAATGGGACCGTCGTCCACGTCAGCTGTTTGATGATCCTGATCTATCAGACTGGTTCGGTCGACTCGACCTCTACATTCGAGCTGCCACATGGACCCTGAGAGTTCCCCCTCCCCCAGGGTTCCAGGTCAGGCCTACTACTCCTGAACAGCAACCTCCACCAGGTAATGAAGATGATGATAAGTATAGGTGTTGCGTTGCCGGGTGAAACAGGTCGTTTGGAACTGGACGACAGCTTGCTAGTAATCTACACCAACATCATGGACTCCATAATCCCTTGGGATGACTAACTACTGCTAATCAATGTTTTGTCTGTGGTCAAGTCTTCGAAGCTCGGAACTCAGCTTACAAACACCTAGCGGATTCATTCCGAACAGGCATCTGCATTAAAGGAGGATCGAATACACTCAGAGTGGCGGGAGAGAATGACAACACCACGTACACACGTGCTATCTGCCACACATCTGGGCTCGAGCGACGTCGCCTTCATCAACATTACACTACCGAGAGCACTTTACTGTTACTCCTATCGTTCACGACCACGATGAGCGAGGCCGAGAAGGCTGATGGCGAAAACGGCAACGGCGGTGGGGGAGCGGCCAGCACGGCGGAGTGGCAGCTCAAGCTCTCGACGTGGGGGCTCCCGACCAAACCCAACGCGCGTCAAGGAAACGGCACCAAGGAGAAGGAGCCCCCGAAGAAGAAACGTATGATCGAGGACCTCGAAACGGAGACGCAGCATGTCATGCACCGGCATCAGTTGGGCCCTCTCAAGGCGCTGGTCGAGGTCCTCACCAGACTCTGCCTCGTCAACAGCAGGGACATGGCCGACCTCATTGGCGCTTGCTACAGCTGTTTCGTTCTGCCAGCAGAACACGCAGTGGTGGTGATGATTCTGGCTGCAGGCAAGAAGTACTACACGAGCTGCAAGGAGGCGGGCAAGGACTACGGGTACGGACCACCTTGGACGCACATGTGGTTGGCGTTCCTTCAGGCTCTTCTCGAAGGACACGACCAGACCCCCAAGTCGTCCAAGCGGGCCATGCAGGTCTACTGGGACGCGAACGTGGCGGGAGCGAAGTGCGGCCTCATGCAGCTTCAGGATCAAGTGAGGCACTGCCGCCTCCGCCCGACCTACTACAACAAGAAATAGGAGCAAACCAAAGAAGTACAAACTTCAGTTCATGTTGAGCTCCCAGCTGCAGACGTCCCAGATCTACTACGACACCAACCCAGTGGGCACAGTGCATCAGGCAGTGTGCGAGACTCTGCGAGACTCTGCACTCGCTGGGAGGCCAGTTCAAGCCAGGGGGCCCACCCAAGGGCGGCCTGGAGCGGGAGGCCGAGAAACTCCTGGGCAAGTTCGGCATGAAGAAGGGGGAGGGAGAGGAGGTCAGCGACGACGACGACACGGAGACGGAGGGCTGACAGCTCAGCTCACACATGTGGCAGGATCCAGTAGGATGGCAGTCTGGGCTCGGGAAGGAGAGCTGGGGCATGATGAACTGAGTGCATTGCAGCAGCGTTCCTCAACTCCCATTCTGCAGTATGCTTCCCCGTCGGGCCAGACCTTCCAGGCCTTCTACACCCCCCCTCTTCAATCGCAGATCTCGCTTCTTGACATGACAAGTCGAGCAGCTCAGATTCGCACCATGCCACTTCAGAACTCGCAGGTGCAAATCACAACAGCAGGTGATAGAGCGCAACCTCGTCTCACTTCCGTTGTTGGAAGTAGCGATTCACACAATCAGGGCAATGATGGACAAAGAGCCTCTTACTTCGGTGACTCTGTGTGAACCCTGTGTTCTGGCTGTCCTGGCACATGTTCATGCAGTTGTTGAAACCTTGGAGCGGTGATGCATGTGTCACGGTGTCCAGGCATCACTGGCTGCCCTTTTTCGGGCTGAGCTTCGAGGAATTTGCTTGATGCAGTTGAGCTCAGTTGCATCATATGCTACACTTCGTGAGGGGTCCACTCGTCACTTCTCGTGTGTGTTGCAGGTTCGATGGTGCCTCGGCGGGGCCTCAAAGTTTTCCCCGAATGAGGTCCCCGCATGTGGCCAGTGGCATCCCCCTGCAGAGCGACCGATCCACGAAGCTTACCTGGTAAGCTGCGGGCGCAGATCCGTGTACTGTTTCGTCCAGGCGGCACCGTGCTTCGCTTCTCGTTTTGTGAGGGTAGGGGTGAACTGGGTCGAGCGCGCTCTGATCTTATCTTGTCCTCATCCCTCCTCCCCTCGCCCCCTCCACCCCTCCTCGACCACACCATCTCTCCTCCTCCTCCTCCTCCTCCTCCTCCTCCTGTCCCTCGTCCTTCTCCCTCCCTCCCTCATCCACCCTCCTCTCCAGCACCCTCCGCTCTCCATCCACCCCCTTCCTCGTCCTCCTCGAGCTGCTTCTGCTCCTCGCCCGCCCACCCCTCCTCCCTCCGCCTCCAGCCGTCCCGCGTGGCGCGCACTGCGCCGGTGTGCCGCCGCGGCGGCGTGCCTCGTAATCGACGAGCAGCGTCTCGATGGCCGAGTCGAAAAGAAACTGGGCCTCGCCCGTGGCTTCGCGGCCGGAGAGCGCCGCGGGATCGAAGGCGGCGGCATCTCCCCACCAGCAGGACAACAGCCGTCAGCACAGAGTGCCACTGCATCGACGGCGCCGCACCGCGGGCGCGCCGAGCTTCTCTTGCCGCCATGTAGAGAGCGAGAGCGGTGAGCAGGGGAGGAGATCAGGCCGCAGCCCTTTGGGGAAGACTGGCCGATCGTGAAAACTACGCAAGCACTGGCTGGAATCGGATCGTCGAAATCCGGAGCAGGGCCAATTGATCAGCTAGGGGATCGACTACAGAACTGATTTGCTCTAAAATTGGCTTTCCCGCCGAAGATGCAAGAACCGCGTAGAAAATGTTCGCAGACCTACTGGGCATTACGCGCATTTTTCACAAATTCGGCGGGAAAATCAAGTCTGGGGTGAATCAGTTCTGTAGTCGATCCCCTACTCCAATGGAAACGACGGCAACTCTCCCGCCCTGCCCAAATCTCATCGAAATCAGTCCCCAGACCCCTCCGCGGGGGTCCACACTCACCCGTTTCCCACGGCTGGCCCAGCCGCGGCGACGAGAAGCCTCCAGGATGCCCCAAGAACACGACGAGTAGCACCCGGGAGGACCGCCGTCTCGACCAGCCCTCGTCCGCGGAGTTTCGGGGATCGGATCGCATCGGGCCCGCCGAAAGCCGCACCGAAGCGAACCGATCGGATCGAAGCGGGCGGATGGCAGGCGCTCCTCTGCTCCCCGACGCACTCCAGGCCGCGGGCGCGGCGACAGCGCGCGCGCGGGACACGGCGAGCGCGGCGGCGAGCGCGGCGGCGAGTGCGGCGGCGAGCGAGGATGAGGGGAGGGGCGACCGAGCGGCCCCGGAGAACAGAAGCAAGGCGCAGAAGAAACGGGCCGATGGATTAGCCTCCCTGGACAGAGAGAGAGAGAGAGAGGACGTACCGCTGCAGAGGCCTGTCGTGATCGATCAAAGTCTAATGTATGACGATGTTCGTCGATGCGGTCCGAGTCAGATCTGTTGAATTAAGCACCGCCTGTTGACGCGATGACTCGGCACAGTGGTACATTCTGCAGTTGTGCATGACACTTCCTGGAAAGAGAGAGAGAGAGAGAGAGAGAGACAGAGGGAGACAGAGAGAGAGAGAGAACAAGCAAGAGAGAGAAAGAAAGAGAGAGAGACGCATCCCATGGAGAGATGTCAGGAGCGCCCCCCGTGCACCTCTGGCCTTGCGCCGGGCTGTGGAAGACATTACATCACCGTCACGCGTCGGTCCGACGCATGCGCTGTCCAGCGCGTGCGCTTGCGCTGTCCACTCGGAACCACGTCGCCCCGTTGAGAGTTCCAGCACATGGACAACATTTTCAAACCCTTCCACGCTCGAAGAAAATTCTGGTCGCCCCCCTGGCCCCGAAATCAATGATGAGTTTAGCATGGGTGATGGTCTTAGTGTCCGGATATGTTTGTCCACTCAAGCCCCCTCCAAGTTGCGCACCCTTGATATTCATGATAAGGGCCTGGGGCGCATCATCATTGGGGCCCCATCCCCCAGAGCCCCATCTTCGAACCCCTCAGCCTGCGGCCACAGGTCCCCACCGCTTCCTGGGGGACAACTTCTGTCCCAGACCCATGTTTGACGGTCCCTGAGACGGACCAGACCGAAATCAAGGAAAAACCGCCGGATGAATAAATCAGGTCGTCGGAAAGGATATGGGCAATGCCCCATGCCTTGCGCCGCGGCGTTCGAGCGCATTGCCCGTGCACACCACCGGCTGCATGCGCCCAGCGGCGTGGCAGGAGGAGAGCACAGACCAGGCGGGCGAAGAGGCAGACGAGCAGCAGCAGGGGCCCCAAGTCTTCCGGCGGCTCCATCTGCTCACCCCGGGTGTCAGGTAGATCTTGCATTAAGATCTCAAGTCTTCACATGACTAAGAGTTTATGATCTTACACTAAGGACATCAGCATACAGTGTCAACGAAAACCAAGGGGCCAGCCCCCGGAGCGCCCGACACCCTCCTCCGAGGCCCGCCCCTCACCCCGAGTGGTCTGCTGGCGCCCCTGCATGGGATCCTCAAGGAGCGGCCTCCAAGTCCCGAATCGAACGAAGCACAAGCATCCGGCGCGCTGTCGCCAGACCTCATAACAAAGCCCCAAATCTGTTCGAAGGACCCCCCCTCGGGGCCCATCCTGGCGAGGTTTTCGAGCTGCGCCCAGCCATGGCGACGAGGAGAATCGAGGAACAGCAACAAAAAACATAAACGTTATCTTCGGGAGGTTCGGATCGAGCGGATTTCTTGGATCGGGGCTGGACACCCCTCGCTGGCGCGCGGAGTGTGCCAGGGTCGGCGCTGAAGGCGCCGCCAGGGGGGTCTCGTGCCGATCCAAAAAAAAAAACCGGGACCTCCGAAAGTGCAGTGCTCATATGCCATCTTTTGGCCCCCTGAGAGAAAGCCTCCCCGGAGGGCCAGCGAAAGAAAACCGGGGCACTCGGCTACATGTAAAAGAAAGTTGCCCTACAAGCAAGACTGGCCTGTGGTACTGGTGCGCGGCCCCAGAGGGACATCACGATGTTTTTTTTTTGGGGGGGGGTAGCGCCCGTTACGCGGGGGGGGGGTCCGGCCCCAAGTTGGGGGTAACGGTAACGCACGGCGGGGCCCTCGCACGGGCCCTGGTACTTACTACCAGCACAACTGTCGGCACGGTAGGCTTCGTCGTCGTCGTCGTCGCCGCTGTCGTCGTCGTCGAAGCCGACCGTGCCTGTGCACACTACACAGGCTTTGTACACCGCGATGCCTTTGTACACCACAACTGCGGCAGACATGGTATGTGTGCACCACGGCGACTGAGCACATCATGACAGGCGGGTGCACCACAGCGCCCTTGTACATCTCACTGTTGGTGCACACCACAGCGCCCGCGTGCACCACAGCTGCTGTTTCAACGCCCCGTGTTTGCACCAGAATGCCAGCGTACACCACAAAGCTTGCGTACACCTGTAAGGTACCGGCGGAGCCAAAGTCCAGAAGATCGCTCGGGGCCCAAACCGTGGCCCTTTCATTACGCGAGCAGCTTGTGGATCTTAGTTTTTCTGGTTCAAAAGCGCTCGGACCTGTTGAGCCCACAGCGCCTGTGTACTCCATTGCTACTGTGTACATCATGGGAAGTGTGAACCGTGGCGCCTGTGTATACCACATGGCATGTGTGCACCACAAAGCTTGTGTACGTTTTTTTTTTGCGGAGTGTAAACCACGCACCGTGGGGGCGCGCGGGGCGGCGGCAGCCTAGGGAATACAAGAAGCAGGAGCTCCCTGCACAGGCACAAGGCCCTTGAGACATGGGTCGACGGCTGGAGCGTGCACGCGGGTGCGTCGTCGTCGTCACCGTCAGTTGCGACGGCGACCGGGGGGGCGACGGCGGCGGCGGCGGTGACACGGGCGGCGGCGACGGCGACCACGACGACGACGACGACGACGGCGGCGGCGACGGCGACGACGCCGACGGCGGCAAGCGGCGGCGGCGGCGGTGAAGGTGACCGCCGCCGCCGTCACCGCCGTCGTCGTCGCCGCCGATGCCGCCGTCGCCGTCGCCGCAGCCGCCGTGTCCGCAGCCAGTAGCCGAAAGCTTCAGCAGCGCTTGGGGCCCACTTGCTGGATACACATGCGGGGGGCTGGCGTGACCAGCCGCGCGAGGTAGGAGGGCCGAGCGCTGGAAGGACATGCGGCCACATCCGCGTGCAGGTCTCGCCCAGTCCAGCCCCTTGCACCAGCACAGGGAGCATGGAGGGAGGACAGTGGTAGTAGTCATAATGAAATTGTGAGAGTACACCGGCTGGTTGCGCCATGGCTTGCCCGATGCGTTACACCACACGCTGTGCTGCGCCAAAGGCGGGGCCACTTTGTGGCGCTGCGTTTCAACGGAACTCCTGGTGCGCGCACTGTTCGGGGAAACGTCGTGCTGGCAGGCGGGCGTCGGGACTCCGGGTGCAGCCCGCAGGATAATGACAACGGACGCGGCAGGGATGACGACGACCATTCCGTGGCACCTGCGGCGCGCCACACCGCCGATCAAGTGCTAAAGCGCAGTGCCCGTGGGCGCTGCCCGCAAGAGTTGGCGGCGAGCCGAGGGGGGAAATGACAGGGGGCGGGCCTTCTGAGAAGGCTCAGAAGGCCTGCGGCCTTCTGAGAAGATGTCCAAGCCGCCCCCGAAGATACGGAAGGCTTCCCTGAAGGCCAGAGGGCTTCTGAGAAGTCCCGCCGCCTTCTGAGAAGGCCTGCCCCCTCTCACTCCCCCCCTGGGCTTGCCGCCGAAAGAAATCCACTGGAGGTCGCCCATGAAGCAAACAGGTCCCACAAGAGACGGGTTTCGGACCGCACGGACGGCCCGCGTGGACCATGATCGGAGGAAGACGCTCGGAGGGACCAGAGGAAGATGATCCCCCTCCTCCTCCGATCCCCCTCCGATCCTCCATCCTCCTCCTCCTCCTCCTCCTCTTCTGCCCCCTCCTCCTCCTCATGCCCCTCCTCCGATCCCCCTATCACCTCCTCCTCCGATCCTGTTCCAACCCTCCTCGTCCTCCTCGTCCTCCTCATCCTCCTCCTCCTCCTCCTCCTCCCTCTGCCTCGCTCCCCCCTCCCCCCAGGAGGTGAGAGGAGGTGGAGGGCACGAGCACTGGAGGGAGTGCAGAAGCAAGGCAAAGGAGGTGGAGGGGCCAGGCCGGAACCCGTTGAAAGGTTCGCGCCGAGGGATGCGAACCTCGAACCTCGAGGATCGAGGCATCCTGGCCCTCGAGGGCCTTCGTCGTCGCCGCGGCTGGACGCGGCTCGGGAAACTGGTGCGTCTGAGCCCCAGTCGGGCCCCGTGGACCCATTTTGAGTTTGCGCCGAGGTTCGAACCTCGAACCTCGAACCTCGAACCTGAGCACACATGTGAGCGTCAAAGCATGCCTGCCTGGACGGAGGGGGGGTCCGCACCCCCGTCCCCGTACGCTCGTTACCGTTACGGGGGGGGGGACCCCCCCCTCGTAACGGGCGTTACGGGTCCGAGCAATAAAAAAACAAGCTCAGCCCTGGACCCAGCCTTCCTGCGGCACCTGTCGAACCGGATCGATCTGTGAGGGCCCCGGGGCCCGGGGTCCTGCGAACACGCCCCGCTCGGACACATGGCGGCGCCGGGCTCTCCCGGGGAAGGCGCCTCGGGCGAGCGGCCCCTCCCCGCGCAGCCGAGGAGCGAGGGGCGCCACGAGCCCGCGGCACCGACGACAGGCCCGGACTGGGCGTTGGGCTGGACCGGTGTATAGCGGGACGCCTCCCGCGCCCCATTCCATTGTAACCAGAACAGGGACCACCCCCCAAAAAAACACCCCGCCCCATTCCACGTTATAACCGGAACTGGCGCCACCTGGGTGGCGCCACCAGGCCTGCCGGCCGGCAG